TGTATGCTGCCCAGAGAAACCACTGGTGAAGGACTTTTTCAGCCTCAACATAGCTGGGTCTGAATCCTCCACTGCTCCTCTGTGTTTTGGGGTTCCACAGGGCTCTATTTTAGGTCCCCTGCTTTTCTCCCTGTACCTGCTTCCATTGGGATCAATCCTTAGAAAGCATGGGATCTTTTTTCATTGTTATGCTGATGATAGTCAGATCTATATGCCACTAAAAAAGAACGATGCCCCCTCAATTAGGCCACTTCTATTGTGTCTTGAAGACATCAAAGCCTGGATGTCTTTAAACTTCTTAAATTTCAATGAAAAGAAAACAGAAGTGATGGTGTTTGGTCCTAGTGGCTCTTGTGAACCTTGCCCTGTTGATCTGGGCCCTCTGGCACCACATGCAAAGAAAACTGTTTCTAACTTGGGTTTTAAAATGGACAGTGATTTTAAATTAGAGTCCCAGATTGGAGCGGTGGTCAAGACCAGTTTTTATCACCTCAGACAGCTGGCTAAGGTAAAGACCATCCTTACAAAACAGCAGCTGGAAACAGTAATCCATGCCTTCGTCACCTCTCGGCTGGATTACTGTAACGCTCTTTACCTTGGAGTCAGCCAGTCCTCCCTCAGACGCCTCCAGTTGGTCCAGAACGCTGCTGCTCGGCTTCTAACTGGAGTTCATGAGAGGGAGCACATCACCCCCACTCTGGCTTCACTCCACTGGCTGCCCGTTCATTTTAGAGTTCATTTTAAGATTCTTTTATTTGTTTTTAAAAGTTTAAATGGTCTTGCTCCATCCTACCTCTCTGAGCTGCTTCACCCATACTCTCCTGCTCGGTGCCTCAGATCAGCTGATCAGCTGCTCCTGGAGGTGCCGAGGTCCAAACGGAGTCTCAGAGGGGACAGAGCTTTTTCTGTTGCTGCTCCAAGACTGTGGAGCGATCTCCCTCTTCCCATCAGACGAGCCCCTTCACTGTCCAGTTTTAAAACTCTTTTAAAAACACATTTTTACTCCCTGGCTTTTAGCACACACTGAATTTATTCTGCACTGTTTTTATTACTTTTATTGATCTTAATGTTTTAACAACTGTTTTTATGTGTTTAAATGTTCTTGATTTTATATGTACAGCACTTTGTGGCAGCTGTGGCTGTTTTAAAGGGCTTTATAAATAAAGTATTATTATTATTAATTTATACTTACTAAGTTTATGTAGGAGCATGTCATGATTCACTGTATCGAAGGCTTTTCCAGTCCAGGAACACGGCTCCAACTACCGCACCATCATCTAGAGATCTTTTAATATTGTCTGTAAGGTAGGAGGTAGCCAGTTCTGTTGAATAACCAGAATGAAACCCAAACTGAACTGGACAGAGAAACTGTTTTTTTTCTAAATAACTAATCAGCTGCTCTTTTTCCATCACTTTGGATATTGCGGGTAAAATACTTATTGGTCTGTACTAACTTGCTCGGAGTCTCCAGATTTCCAAACTGGAGTTATTAGTCCTGTTTTGAAGGTATCAGGAAATAGACCTTTTTAAAAGATAAGTTTATTAAGTGGGTTATGTGGTTTGACAAAACTGTTTCTTCATAAGCTCTATCCATCCCAAAAACATCTTTAGCTTTTAATGTTTTTAATCGATTAATTATATGCTGAGTTTTACAAAGATTAATCTTAAGAGTAAAATGAACAGTTTATGAGATTAAAGTTTATTATATCATCCATTGATTTAATAAAATAATCATTAAAAGCATTTGCCATTGTTGTAGGGTCTGATATTATGTGTCCCTTATGTTCAGTTCACCTTTTTTTCTGATTTATCTCTTTTTTTTCGTAAGTTTGTTGAAATGTGACCAAAGAGAAGAGCTCCGACCTGAGTGGGAAATCACTTCAGTCTAATATGCTGCTTTTGCTTTTCTTAGACAACTAACCACTTTATTTCTCAGACCTTTAAACATGAGAAAGTCCGTGTTCACTTTAGTTCTCAGAGTTTTTCAAAGCCCCTTTTCCTCAGCCGACGTAACTCACTATTAATCCATGGCAGTGAAGACTTTCTGCTTACTTTTAATTGGCTCTGTAACTGTAAGAATTATCTTTACAAGCGACTCTGTAAGAACAACAGGTATTGGGGTCATGTGCTTGTAAAGTCAAATCCCAAATTATTATTTTATTTGGGCATACAGCGTCCTCAGTACAAAGAAATGCACTTGTGGGTGCGTGTAAGAGACCCATCCAAGATGGCGGGCAGCAACCACAAAGGCACCTAAAGTCACTGCCTACCTGGATGACGTCATCATCCTTAACGCCTGGGCGGAAGGTTCTCGGGTCACTACGCCTCCTGGATTCGTCTCCGTAGAGGGCTTGGACCTCTATCTGTGTATCTTTTTCTGTTAGCAGCAGAGTTTCTAAATGTTCGTGTCAGAAACAGCCCCATACAAGGAATCAGTGTTGCAGATCAAAGTTTTTCTGTTGGCCAGTGGCTGATGAAACGGCTTGGTTTCTAAAAGACGTGTCACAGGTCTCTAGCAGGTAGTACTGCTGAAAGTTTCACTAAGGCCTCTGGCCTGTCTCTTAATAAGAGTGAATGTTGTCGGTGAATAATTGCACACACTCCTCTGGTATCCCTGTGAAAGATTCTGGAACATACAGGGTATCAGTATCATAGTAAAAACAGAAGTATTGCTAATTTCACTCGGGTCATTGAAAAGTCTAAAAAGGTTTTGAACAGTTGGCTACAAAGGGATCTGTCCCTGAGAGGTCGAGTCGTGCTCACTGAAGCAGAAGGATGGTCCAGTCTGCCCAGTCTCTTTATGTTCATGAACCAGTTTGTAAATCTGACGACAGAACGCTCTCGGACTTCTTGTGGAAAAACAAAACACATTATTTGCATAAATCTGTTGTTTTAAACAATGATAAGTCTGGTGGGCTACATTTTATTGACTTTGACTCCTTTAATAACACTTTTAAAATAAAATGGATCAAAAATGATCTTAAAAACCCAGAGTCTATCTGGAACTTCATTTCACAGCATCTTTTCACATTTAGGCCGTTTAGAGTTTGTTCTCCTTTGTAACTACAGTATTCCAGAAATACCCACTAAGCTTTCCAACTTCCACCAACAGGTACTTTTAACCTGGTCCCTTATCCATAAACATCATTTTTCTCTGCAGAGATGTTACATCTGGAACAACTCCGACATAATATTCAAAAACAGGTCGTTATTTGATCGGAAATGGTTTAACTATGGTATTACTGAAGTTAACCACGCAGGTCTTTATAGCTATGAAGAGGTTCTTCCTCAGTACAAGGTTCTTGTCGCTCCAAGAGAATAAAGTATTGTCTCTGATGCTCCCCCATGTGTTTGCTCATGATGTTTAAAGATGTTGCCTTCTCTTCTCCGAGCACTTTGGTAAGTTCTGCTTCTCAACTAACAGGCGTCGGTTCCAACATCTGTTCTTTATTTCAATAAAACCTGGTTTCATCTCCATCTTGTGTTTATACTGGAACACCTTCGTGCAGAATCTTATTTGGAAAAAAGTTTGGTCTCCCGCATTTTTCTCTCTCACTAATAAAGTCAGAGAAGTTTCTTTTAAATTAATTCATACATTTTACCCAACCCAACACTTTCTTCAGAAATACAAAGCTGATATTGATATGTCCTGTTCTTTCTGTAGCTTTATCCAGAAACATCTGGTCATCTTTTGTGGAAGTGTGCAGACTCTCAGAACTTTTGGAAGGACATTGTTGCTCTGATATCCAATAATATCCAGCCAGGTTTGAAACTGCTCTGTTGGGTCTCCTGGACTTCAAGACTCCTCTCACGTGTTTAGCATCAGTCTGATCTTGTTTCTTACTAAAAGTAAAGTAATGCACAGGAAACTGTTTTTTGATCTTTGTAATGGATGTAAAACTGGATCTGACACAACCTCAGACTCAAATAACAAAAAGGCTAAAAAAACAAAAAAATACCCTTAGCAAAAAGTAGTTTAAGTGTACTACAAGTATACTTATTTTACACTAGAAACGAGTAAGAGTACTTGAAATTTTACCATTTACAAACTTTATTTGATATACTTAAAAAATAGTATAAATTTATTCCAAACAAGTATTAAATACTTTCTAGTACACTACAAGTATGGTGTGTAGTATACTTGATATACTTAATTTAAAGTGTACTTGCAAAAATGAACTTCAAATGTAGTACTTTTTATTAAGGGTATGTGTAATGAATACAACTTACCTTGTAACATGCATTTCTTCATTTGTATTTTATTATTTGTTTCTTTGACGTGTTCAGTGTTTTTCAATGTGTATTTTTGCGACGGTTGTATTTGAAGTTCTAAAGATCAAGAAGGTTCTTGGTTCCTACGGTTCATCGAGCTCTGCTGTCATGTCGCAGCTGCAGGAAAACAAAACAAGTCTTTTTAATCTTGCACGTTTTGCAGGAACTCGTTGTGTGTGCAAGCTCCTGGCAGAACATTTGTCCTAGTCCAAACACCTGAATAAACCCACAGCACCTGAACGCACTGTGAAATGTTTACCGGCAGACAGTGAAGGCCTCATTTCAGGACGGTCGTTTTATTGGACCGCTGCTTTACCACGTGACACCCAACATGGCTGCCTGCGGTGACGGTGGAGACAGAGGTGTGTTCATGTTTTAACCGTGTTTTCAATAACTGGGTTTCTGTCAGAACCGTCGCGAGGCGCTGTAATGACTCGCTGAACCGGGTCAAAGGAACCGAACAAACCGGATGATTCTCGTTCTAACTGCTGCTTCTGTCCGTCGGAGCTGCCATGGCGACAGAAATGTACGAGACGGAATAAACAAGCGGAGACTTCATTTTACATCAAGTCAACCGATGAATAAAGCAAACAAACGAAAACAGCGGCCAACTGGTTTATGATGGTGCAC